AAATCTAATGTTATTTTCAATCAAGCCTAGAAGATAATTATTCCTAAGAAATATTATTTAAGCTGATCCAGTTCATTGTCACAATGGTCTCTATTGGCTAATCTTATGGTTTGAATAATCATAGATTTTAAAACTCCAACCTTTGTTTTATACCTATGACGAGACGAAGTTAAGATTAATGCCAGCATGCGTTGGCTTTCAATATAAATTCCTGCTTAACTTCTCACCTGCTCTGATCACTAAGGCATCTAAAAAGGATTAATTATTGTTCTTCTCCATCTCCATTATCAACTTAACATTGCAGTCAATCTGGTCAATTGCAAACAAGGAATTACCTAAACTATCCTTACCATGCTGTCATATGGCAAATTAGTCATTCATATATCTAGCTAACAGTTTGGGTATCAATCTTACCTCTTCCATGAAATGTTCTTTCATTCTTAACATGTAATTATTAGCTAAAATAGGAGCCAATCAAGATCCCCTGCTAGGCCTTGCACCTGTTCATAAACCTTATCATTAAAGGTAAGATAAGTTCTGTTCATGGATAGATTAAGAAGTCTTACGCTTGAGCCATTACTCATATGTCCTTCCTCAATAATTTCTGGGTGTTTAATTCGGCTGATCGTTAGTGCTTAAATAGATTTATGAACTGTGATATTAGTATAACTTGATACCACATAAAAACTAACCAAAAGATCCTTCTCCTTGATACTCTGTTGATCTATTTATCTAGCAAATTCATGTGAATTCTTCACTGAATATTTTCAATATTCAGCCACTTACCTTATTTGTCTGCATAAGTAACGTAAAATCTAATGCATCACATTTCCCTCATTATTAACAATCAATCATAGGAGAACTCCTTCCTTGCGTATTTTTGGAAGACCGAAAGCCGAAGGTGCGCTGGCATCCCTTTGAAGAAGTGAATTCATTTTACACTTCTTTATTTCTTCTCTGCTTACACAAACTTTAAGGGATTCCCTAAGGCTAGACCTAACACTCCCTTTGGAATCCTTCACTAAAAGTCTGTAATTTTCTGAGTCATGTAAATGAACCACCTATCCGTGATGACCACTGCACTACCTTTATCTGCCTTTAAAACAAACTGAGCTGATGTTAATGATCCCAAGTGATCTGTTTGTTTTAAAGACAGATAAAGCTACAAAGTTGACCCATTATCGGGTTACTACAAGATAATGTATTCATGTGGCCGCTTTTATGTTTAAAGATTTGTCGTCCCATTCGATAAAGGTTAGCTGAGCACAAGAGCGCCTGCAATGGATATTGGGTTCATAAATCGGAGCTGGCTGAGCGTAGGGCAGAAACGGGACACGAGATTGAATGGTTTCAAACTTCTTATTTTGCTGAGTATGGCATGTCTGCGGCTAAATGTAAAATTAGATGGGCCATCGAAATAAACCGAATATGAAATCCATTTGAATGTAAGGAATACCGGCAAGAAGATAAGTAAAAATTACATGTGCTAAATTAATAGACTCAAAGATAGAGGGTGTTGAGCCGTCTGTAAAAAGGAAGCGACACAACTAAACTTTTTTTGTCTTGGTTCTAATACTAGTCACTTATATGTACTTTTAGATCACTCTATCTCTTTCGCACTAAGACTAAAAACAAAAAATAGGCTCGGCAACAAAACCGGATGCGTGTACTACTTTGCGCAATCGGAGTGATGGGTATAACATATCTGTAGGAAGGGGGAGATAGTGGTCATCAACCCTTGATGGCCAATAGCAGACGTTACCCTTGCTGTCCTAATTACTTTGAGCCATCACTGCGGGTTTCGTGCATAAGCGAACACAAGCAGGCACATACACATACAAACAGACACACTCACAAGTTTCGAGGTTGACATATTACCGTAACTAACCAAATCACATTATACCTGATCAAAGAGGCCATATATAGAGTATACAGCTTTTTAGGGATTCGCTGGAGAGTTTTCGTGACTCGTTAGTTTGAATTTGGTTGTGACGATGATATCTTGGTCTGATGATGTTCTTCATATGATGGACGAAAGCTTAGCATCTTTTCACCGGAATCGAAGGAGATTATTTCGTAAACAGCTTTATCATGAACGCTCCAGTAAAGCCAATCGACAGCTGGTCAAGAGGAATCCGTCGTCGTATGTAGGAATCGACCTTAGAATCTCTTCGCCAAATAATTTCACTCGAAATGGAAGTAAGTTCAACAATTTAATTTATTTTAATCGAAGGTATGAAGATCAAGATGGTTTTGCCTTTTGTGTGGCTGCAGTCTTCTTTCGTTTTATAACAGTTGTTTAACCTTCTTTTCGCATTTGGTCATATCGGTAGGAAGACTTAGAGGAACGCACTTTGTCAGGAGTCCATTGCATACATGATAATTTTAAGAGTCCTACCGTGGATGTGGTACATTCTTAGACGTTTCGCCGGCATCGTCAGTGAGTCTTACCATTCTTAGTTCCATATTACAACTCATCAAAAGGGACAAGTGAAATCTATCCTTTGATCAAATGTCTGCTAAACCGTTGTGGTATCTACTGTCAGCCTACTAGCTATAGTCTCCTCTGCGTCTATCCTGTTTCTACCCCTAATACCAAGTCTATGACTTGATATATCCTATTCTCTTGTGTGCAAACCCACAAATCTTGTGGTACTTCTTGTTTTGATTCGGTTCATTGTTGAGCTAGCAAGTCATAGACTTGGTATTAGGGATAAAAACAGGATAGATGCTACGGAGACTATATCTACTTGGCTGATGGTAGGCCTGTTTTACCATAGATGTTGTCCATATAGCAAAGGCTTGACCATAAGACTTACTCAGAGGCTTTAACCTCGAATTAGTCACCCCGACGCAGGGGATGGGTAATAACGCCTCGAGTAGCACAGATGGGGTGGCAGGTGTCGAGTGAAATACTTGAACCAGAGAGATAGCAGACGGATCCTACGGGGTAAGAGTGAGACTGTGATAAGACCTAGGGAAGGATTACGGCGTAACAATATGGCAGACTGATTGAAATTCTCAGCACAAAAGTGAAGGGGGGTGACAGCGCAAGCGTGGAGTGTGGAGGGTTGTAATGGGAGCCGCTCAAAAAGGTACACTACCACATTTAAATAAACAAGTAAAAAATTGTGAAAGTGAAGGCGTGATACGAGGATATAGAATAGGTGAATAGCCTAGGACAGGAGAGATACCACACTGTTTAGCATATATTTGATCAAATGATCTGCTTCACTTGTCCCTTTGATGAGTTGTAGTATGGTGCTAAGAATGGAAAGACTCAGTGACGATGCCGGCGAAACGTCTATGAATGTACCACGTCCACGGTCTGACTCTGGAAATTAGCATGCATGAAATGGACTCCGGACTAGATGTGTTCATCTAAGTCTTCCTAGCGATATGACGAAGTTGCGAAAACAAAGTCAAATAACTTCACAAAATACTTTCCTTTTAGCTTCCTTTTTATTCTCCGTAAAACCACATCTCTTCATTTTAAATTAATTGATCCAAGAATAGTACTATGGTCTTCCTTCTGGTTTAACATAATCTGCCAGAATTGTAGAAGGCATTTTCTTTGGACGCATCTTCAATTAAAAGGATTGACAGTTCCCTAGACACTTCTCTACTCTCAACAACTAGGAGGATGTTCATGAGGATCATGGTAGACAGAATTATAATTAATTATAAATCGATCAGGTCCTATTCTCACAATAGATCTCAAATTGAAAAGTATCTTATTCATTACCACAGATGAATCCTCAGGTCTACTCTAGAGGAGTTTTTATCACCTAGTCTTTATTGATCTAATAAAACATTATGCAACGTAATTCACTAACTCCTTTGAATTTTTCTAAAAGGTTTAGCCTTCGTCAAATCATTTATATATTGTACTACAGTTTATCTTGTAAAAATTAATCTTGTTAAATAATACTTATGCACTATTGCTTATTTTATTGATTAGGTATCTTAATTACGCATGAGTTAGCACCTCGACCAGATTCCGGAATTTGATGTAATAATTGCAAAGCGAACACTGTCATTTGAATTAAGCTTACGCGAAATGACAGTTTCACTATTCTTAAAAACTCAAATTCATCAAGATTAATAAAGCTACTTATTTTTACTATTTAATATCTTATGCCTGACCAGCTCGCTCTACAGTATTGTTATCTTTTTTAACTATCACAACAATAAAATAGTTGAAATTTATGTTGTTGTTCTACTATCGATAAATAATTCTTTTTGTTTATAGGTTTGTTTTAGAGACTGCCAATAGATCTTATCTTTGAGCCGTATTCGCCCTATTTCGTTTAAGGTTATGACGGATTGTTAGTTGGATTTTCCATTTATGTTATGAATAGGCCTCACTTTTCCATTCCACATAGCCTTGCTTCCCGAAAGTTATTTTCATCCGGGATGGACTGCACTTTTGACTTCAAAAATGGTCTTATTAGTATAATCGGCGGGAAATTGACGCCTACACTGTGAAACATTTGTGACATTGTAGGGTTATGGTTAATTTGCCGAGACTATGTTGCACTATCTGGGTTGGAATCTTACTGGGAGTACTGGCCAGACTTGGGCGGGGTCGAAGCTGCGGTCCACCTTGGAAGAGAATTCCTTTTGGGAAGCAAGGCTATGTGGAATTGAAACGTGAGGCCTCAACTAACAGTCCGTCGTCACCCTAAACGAAATGGTGCGAATACAACTGTGATACAAGATCAGAAAATCATCTTTTTATTCAATTTACTTGGACTTCTAACTAACACCAACCGATAAAGACTTATATGAGGAGACAGTACATTCTTACCTTATTTATTACGATTCATTTCTATTCTTTTTCAATCCAGTCGGGCTCGGAAACAAGTTATTCGTGAGCTACGAATTCTCTCCACCCTCGAACGGCGTCAGGCCCGTGAACTGACCGAGCGAGCCTCACAACAAATGGAACTCCTTGATACTAGGCTGCGAAATGAATTCCTGGTAAGAAGCTCTTCTTTAGCCTATATTTATACCTTTCGTTAAGAGTTAAAAAAATTCTATTCACATACTTTATATTCAGGTTATCGATTACATATCAAATTTGGGATGTTGCACTATGTACGAATCATATATATTTTCCTCATTATTTGTAACATGTTTAGATTATGAATCATCTTTACTCTTCTCATCACCTTCATATTCTTCTTATCTGATTGATTGATTACACATGTTTTTTATTGATCATCATTGGAATTAATGTCTTCCTCCCTACTTTACACTAGATTATCTCTTCTAACTCTGTACAGTTCTTTGTTTAGTTTTGTTGCTCGTGAGTCACTCTTGATTCTGGCATCTATTATAACAACATCTGTGAATTAGCATATCTACTTTCTAAGCTGTTGGCTATATCGTTCTTTCCATTCATCTGAATTTTCTGCTGATCAGATAGCTTATTGGTCTGCTACTCCTGAAGTTAGCTTATCATAGTTGGCAAACGCATTCGTATTTCTTCCAACCCATCTCCTTTAATACTAATTAGATAGAAAATTCCGGCATCTTACATTATAGACAGACCTCTTAATATATGCAATATGCTCGCTCTATTTCGTCTAAGGTGATACAGGACTGATAGTTGAATTTTCTTACAATGATATGAGTAGAACCTACATTTCTATTGAAGTTTACATGACCTTGCTCCCCAAACGGTATTCTCATCCAAGGTGGATTTAAGTTTCGACTTCTGTGTCTCAGCAGCACCTCCAGTCGGAATCGAAATGTGAAAATGCAGCGTATAATCTTGACGTTAATCACTACGCCAGATTGCCACGAGTGCCCTTGGGGTTCAGGGCAGATGTGCATTTTAAGGAAGGCCAGGCTTTTTCTCTTATCACATTCTTTGGTGGGATTGTCGATGAAGCAAACTTATATTTGCTACAGCAATCGACTACGTTACTTATTTTTAGTTTGTAAGTAGAGTCTTGAAACGACCAGTGGATCAGATATGTGAGGTGCTGTCCTTCTATTTCGTTTCGACTTCTTAATATTGGTATTTTTTGTTTTTTTATATTTTATTGTTGTAGCCTATATCGAAGTAGCATAAGCAAAAGGCTCAGATTACCCAGAGTTCCCGAAAATCAATGACTTCTTGGGGTATTACAATTCCCTAAAAAGCGGTTATGATTCA